GGGGGAGACTGAGGCACAGAAGAATAGAAATCTCTAAAGAGGGACAACTGTGGATAGACATGAATTTGAAACCCAGGAGTCAAACATCTAGCCTCTTCCCTCCTTGAGATTTCTGTTTAGGCAGTGGTTTTCAACTTTTTTTGAGGAATGGTGACACATTGGATGTTTAAGTTAGAAAAGTTGGTGCAATTTCCCTTCATAAGTGTAGCTGGTTTTCTTGAATTATTTGTGAGTCCAGGATATGACATGTTTACAGGTTTGCATATATGTGAAATAGGCAAATTCTGCTTATTTCATATACACTGTACTCACAATACTTCATATGCTGGTTAAATAACAGTTATGTTAAACAAAATTGTTTTAAATTTCTTTTATCTGCAATACCATGGCATCCAAAATTTTACAATGCATCTATCAAAATCCATGACACATGTTGAGAACCACTAGTGTAAGGTCATAGAGTGTCAAAATTGGAAAGGACCTTAGCAATCTGGTCAAATTCCCTCTCTTTACACAGATAGATAAACCTAGGGCCCAGAAGGATCAATGACGCCTAGAGTTACACAGCAATTTAGTGGTAACATCAAGATAGTGACTTTGGCAAGACATGTTCCTTCTCCCCCTACATCTCAGTTCCCTCATCCTTAAGATTGGGGGTTGGACTAGATGACCCAGAAAGTTGGCTTCCATTTCTGAATCTTATTCTAAAATCCAGGCCCCCTGATTCCTTGTTCAGGGCTTTTCCCATTGAATTCTAGGTACCACAGGGGCCCCTAGGTTTTGACTCTGAGGCCTGAAATGGGTAGGACTGCTGGGAAAATAGGAGAATTGAGAATATTAGAGAAATGTCCTGAAAATGATGCTTTAACTTCCTAGGGAAGGAGTGAAATAAATGAACAAGTGAAAAAGCATTTATTGAGCCCTATGTGCCAGGCACCTTATCTTCTTTCCCCCTCTCTTCCATTCTCATAGGCTGTCAAAGTCAGAGCCTGTCATCCAACTTAAAGTCATGGTTTCCTTCAGACATCACACTCTTTTGCCCCTTGGTGTCAGAGGATTTCTTCAATTTCTGCCACTGACTAAATGTATGACCTTGGACAAGTCATTTCATCCTGGGTTGGAGGGGGGGAGCCCAGTCTCTTTATCTGTAAAATGGTAGATTTTGACTTGATAACCTCAAAGTTCCCTTTATAGTACAAGATCTTCTGATCTAAACCAGGTGGATAGAACTGATTAAGCTGTGGCATTATGTGCACAGGTGTAAGGTGTAGGGTGGGGTGAGACAAGGGGGGGGGGATGTGGAGGAGTGGTTAGATCTGAACTATTCCTAGCCTAGCCCACCCCCTACCAGGAAACTCTCTTTGTCTGGACACCTGAGCTAATACCCACATGGGAGGTGGTATTCAGTTTCTTTGTGCTTTAGGGCAGGAGTGGCTCCTCTACTTTTCTCTTTTTTTTATAAAAAATAAATTCATTGTTTTTATATCACCTATGTTTCCCAACATATCCCTTTCTTCTCCCTCTGCCCCATTCAGAGAGACATCCCTTATAACAAAGATTTTTAAAAAGAAAAAAATACCTCCTTTCTTTTTTAGCTTAGCTGGACATTCCCTTCCTAGGGATAGGAGCAGATGGATGAAAGAGAGGAGCTTGCATTAGACTTGTGGGCCCTCATTGTCTCTAGATGAGGCATCTCTATGAATCTGACATGGGATTATTTTCCTTGCTATGCCAGTCTCATCTGAGAAGTCCTTCTTCCCCCCAGACTGTGCCCCTCTGTGCTAGTTCTTAACTATACTATGCCCATTGAGCACAGAGAAGGCTCTACCCCTTCTAGGGGAAGGGTTTACAAGTATCAGATAATCTTGCAACAGGAGAATCTAGAAGGGAGCTTTGCTAGGTTGGTACATGGCCACCATGCTCTCAGCTAAGGGTTTGAGCCATTAGAGGAAACCTCAGTTATTAGGAAGACTCCAGAAGCCCCTCCAAAACATATATGGTCTTCCCTTTCGTCCTTCACCACAGGACCACTGATCTTTATGTCTGTTTTCCTGGATAGAGCAGATCTGGAGGTAGAAGAGGGGGAACAGAGATTAGGAGGCATTTTTATAAAATAATTGAATCTTAAGTTCAAAAAAATTAATGAATTTTCCCAATACATTCCTCCCTTCTTTATAGTGAAAACTTTAAAGAGAGGAGGAAAAGCAGTGTAGCAAAACTAATAACAAACACTTGGAATAAGGCTGTTATTATATGCAGTGTTGGTAGGGCAGAGCCACAATGGCAGAGCAAGGCAAGGACCCACCTGAACTCTCCCAAATTCACCTCTAAACAACCACAAAATAATGCCTCAAAATGAATTTTGGATCAGCAGAACCAATAAAAGGACAGAGTGAACCAATTTTCCAGCCCAAGACAACTTAGAAAGTTAGTAGGAAAGGTCTATTTTGCTTGGGTAAAGGAGGAGTGCAATTAAGTGCAGGTGGCATCCAGGGAAGACAACAGTGAGGTCCCATGGCCCTAGCACAGTAGGCCAGCAGTGGGGCCCCACTCTCCCAGCACAAGAAGATTGGGAGAGTGCCCATCTTCACCACAGGAGCAATGCCCAATGTTAACATAAAAATTAAGTCATGAAATGGGCTGGAAAAATGAGCAAAAAACAAAACAAAACAAAAAAGGAACCCTATCAGAGAAAGTTACTATGGTGACTGGGAAGATCAAAACAAATGCAGAAAAGGACAATGATGTCAAAATGACTACATATGAAGCCTCAAAAAACAAAAAGTGAATTTGTCTCAGGCCCAAAAAGAACTCCTGGAAGAGCTCAAAAGGGATTTTAAAAATTAGATAAGAGAGGTAGAAGAAAAATTGGGAAAAGAAATGCGAATGATGCAAGAGAATTATAAACAAAGAGTCAACAGCTTGATAAAGGAAGCACAAAAAATAGACAACACTATACAAAAATTCACTGAAGAAAACAGCTCCTTAGGAAGTAGAATTGGTTGAATGGAAAAGGAGGCACAAAAGCTCACTAAAGAAAATAATTTCTTAAAAATTAGAATTTGGGAAGTAGGAGTTAAAGACTCTATGAGACATCAAAAAAAATAAAACAAAGTCAAAATAATGAAAAAATAGAAGACAATATGAAATATCTCCTTGGAAAAACAACTGATCCGGAAAATACATCCAGGAGAGATAATCTGAAAATTATTGGACTACCTGAAAGTCATCATCAAAAAAAGAGATGAGACATCATATTTCAAGAAATTATCAAGGAAAACTGCTCTGATACCCTAGAACCAGAGGCTGAAATAGAAATTGAAAGAATCCACTGATCACTTCCTAAAAGAGATCTCAAAATGAAAACTCTCAGGAATATTATAACTAAATTCCAGAGCTTTCAGGCCAAGGAGAAAATACTACAATCAGCCACAAAGCAACAATTCAAAGATTGTGGAGCCACAGTTAGGCTTACACAGGACTTAGCAGCTTCTACATTAAAGAACTGGAGGGCTTCAAATCTTATATTCTGGAAGGCAAAGGAGCTAGGATTACAACCAAAAATAATCTACACAGCAAAACTGAGTACAATCCTTCAAGGGAAAAAATGGAATTCATTGAAATAGAGGACTTTCAAGCATTCCTGATAGAAAGACCAGAGCTGAACAGAAAATTTGATTCTTAAACACAAGACTCAAAGAAGAATAAAAAGGTAAACAGGAAAGGGAAAACATAAGAGATTCAATAAGATTAAACTGTTTACATACCTACATGGGAAGATGATACTTGTAACTCTTAAGAATTTTATCACTATTAGGGCAGTTAGAAAGAGTATAGATAGACAAGGGGTGTGAGTATAAGTTAACTTTGATGGGATGATATAAAAAAACAAAATTAGGGGTGAGAAAGAGGGATGCACTGGGACAAGGGGGAAGGGAGAGGGAGAATGGGATAAATTATCTCACAGGAAGAGGTGCCAAAGACCTATTACAGAGGAGGAAAATACTGGGAGGAGGGGTGGATAATGCTTGAACCTTACTCTCATTGGAATTGGCTCAAAGAAGGAATAACATATACACTCAGATGGGTGTAGAAATCTATCCCATTCTATATGGAAATAGGAAGGGAGGGAGATAAAGGAGAGGGAACTAATAGAAGGGAGGGCAGATTGGGGGAGGTATTGGCCAGAAGGAGAGACAGGGTGAAAGGATAAAAGGGGGGAAAGAGAGAGAGGGAGGGAGGGAGAAAGAGAGAGAAGAAGAAGAAGAAGATGAAGAAGAAGAAGAAGAAGAAGATGAAGAAGAAGAAGAAGGAGAAGAAGAAGAAGAAGAAGAAGAAGAAGAAGAAGAAGAAGAAGAAG